ATATGAGCGTTTTCGATGGTTCGACTTCTTCGTTTGGGTTAATTTAGGGGACTTATGTTCATAGGGACCTCGGATTATTATTTTACACGATTTACTAAACCATAATTAAAACGGAGAGAAAGAGAAGAAGAGCGAAAGGGGAAAAAGAGACACTCGCCTCAGAGAGAAACGGTGAAATTACTTGGGCCGGAGGGAAGGATCTGAGGACGGGGGAGAGAAGCGGCGAGGGATAGCAGTAGATAAATGTTTTTAATGGACTAGAGGGATGGGGGGAGATTAGTGATTAAAGTTTACGCACAGGGTGATTGGTTAAGAGGTTGGGAATGAGAAGGGAAATTGTTTTTCGTTTGCCATTATAGATTTGTTTCACTACATTAAGATATTCACAGAGAACAAGGGAAGGGAAATGGTGGTCGGTTTTTTTTCTTTTTTTGTGGCCATTGCAAGGGAGAGTGTTGCACGTTTTCTTTTTTAACCAATTGGTTATTTTATACTTGATTAAAATTAAAACAAAAAAAAGGAATTATAAAATAACACAACAAATTATAGAATGTGAATTAAAAATATTACCCAATAATAAATCCACAAAACAATACTAAAAATTTTTTAAACAGGAAAAAAGTCACAGAGGACCAAAATAAAGGAAATGGTTGAAGTGCTTGCAAGATTCCTTACATTAAGGGATGGAAACGTTTTACTCCAACAACATCTACACAACGGGAGAAGGATTTTCTTTACCTGAATTTCTACCACCAAGAAATCTACATATTCCCTATGGAGTTTTTTATGAACCAGAGATATGTTTTAGATAGATATTTTTTTTGGTTCTTTTAAGAACATTAGATTTTCTTTATTCTTGATCAGTGGTTGCTCCATCCTGATATCAACGTTTCGTGTGTGCTTTTGACAAGGGTACGCGAATTGTAAGAATGGAATGAAGAAAAGAAAAGGGGGGAAAAAGGAAAAGGAGGTGGGATTTTAAAGATAGTGAATGTGGGAAGGAGGAAAATAGGGGTAGGGCGAGAGAAGGGGGAAGCGTGTGGGGAGGTGGGAGGGGGAGACTGAAGGAAGAAAGGAAGGGGGAGGGGACAAGACCCCAAACTTGCAGCAGGGCGAATATCAAACATTATTGCACAAAATTCAACTGCAGGAATTTGTGTATCCGTTTTGTTCTTTTTTATACCCAACCAGAGTAGTATGCATTGTTGTGCAAAGATTTTCCTTACATTTACAGAAGAAGAAAGAAAAAAAGAGAAAAAAAAAAAGAAAGAGAAAAGGAAAAAAAGAGAGACAGCAGAAGAGAAAGAAAAAGGGGAAGGAAGGAAAGAGATAGAGAAGGAAGGAAAGAGGGAAGGAAGAGAAGAAAAGAAGGAAGGAAGGTTGGCCACAGCAAATAAAAAGTGAAAGAAGGAAGGAAACATTGGAACAAACTTCCTCTGGAACCGCAAAAGAATGAATTCTCAATGATATTGTCCGATTTTGATGACATGCGAACCTTTAAAGAAGGAGGAGAGGAAAATGTTTGCAAAGATGTCCTTGTTTACGATTAAAGGAAGGGGAGGGAAGAGAAAGGGAGAATAGCAGGAAGGAATTAATTAAAAAGGAAAGAGGGATTGTCTTAGGTTTTTTGCAAGATTTCTCGCGCGTTAACAGCCCATTGAAGGGGGCGAGAAGGGGGGGTGGAGGACGCAAGGGGGAAGGGGAAAACGAGATGGGGTGGGACGGACGGCAACACTTTTGTTCCGGGGATTCGAGCATTACGATTCTAATTTTTTCCATACCGTAACGGACCGACGGTTTGACGGGGATCCACTTTATCTGTGGCCTAGGCAGAGACGTCCTGTACCACACCACTACATGTTGCGACCAATAATGGTACAAGGGATTTGTTGGCCTCCCATCTCACATTCCATTTAAAAAGGGAGTCACATTCGCGAAGAGGGGTAACACAGGGGTAATTTTCGACTTAGGTATTAGGGGGGAAAAAGAAAGGAAAGGCAGTGGCTTGGAGGGGTGGAAAAGTAGATTTTGTGGTACCCCTTTCCTTTAGATGGATTTACAACCGGGAGAAGCTGTCTCATTTTTCCAGACCAGCTATGGGATGTAGCCATTATCGAGAGATCAGAAAATGAAGAGAGGAAGAGAAGGAAGAAATAATGCTGCTCTAACGGGGGGAAGGGAAAGAGGGGGAGGGGGAAGAGGCCAAAAAGTACACCATAAAGTCGAGACATCAGAGGATCACCAAGGAAGGACCCTTTGCAAAGACCAGGTTTAATCGATCCGAAGTGGGGCATACATCCAAGCCTGTCCTCGGCCCCATACGAGTGGTATAGTAGATATTACAATGTAGGGGACCAAATAAAGGTAACCAATGTGCATTTACTGCTGCAAAGACGAAAAAGGGACATTATTAACCTGTTGTTCAAAAGGATCACAAAATTACATGCAAATTTATTTTTTCGATGTAAACAGAAAAAAAGAAGATAAATGTATAGTTAAGCTTACTAGAGAAAAAAGAAGAAATGCTAAAAGAGAAAACGAAAAGAAAAGAAAGCAGACAAGGGAAAGCCATGAGGGGAAGATGCTAGGAAGAATTTACCTGTTGTTGCAAAGGAGAATAAGATTCAGACAGAGCTATACATTGAGGCATTTTAAAAAAGCAAAGGGGGGGAGAGAAGAAGATGTTGTAGGTAGAAGTAGTAGCAAAGGCATTCAAGGATTGCACCTATTGACATTAAGAAAGGAAAAGAATGTGGTTGCGAAAAGAAGGAAGAAAAGGAAGAGCAATAGCCGTCTTCAGTAACAAGAGAGTTAAAGAGAGAGGGGAAGAAATGTGTTAGATGGACGGCTCTTACTAGGCAGCAAAGCTAAAAGGTTCACATGGAAGTAGTTCGATGTAATATGGACAGTATAAAAGCGCAAAGGTGGTCTTTTCATCCCCTCCTCACTATGGGAGTTTGACTTGTATTTAAGGTATTACCACACAGACGTTCTACGGTAAACCCAATTCAACAAAATGAGCCAGGACAGGGAGAAGAACAAAGGGCGCAAAGCAATAGACCCTAGAGACCAAAAAGAACGGAAGAATGCAAGCAAATAACCTGAGTACGCCATTCTCAGAGCAAACATAACAACAGCCCAGGACAAAAAAAAAAAAAAAAAAAACATAAAAACAGGAGACCAAGAGATGAGTGACATCACCAAACAATTTGCCAAGTTACGTTCAGAAATAAGAAAAAGCAATAGAAAAAAAACAGAGAGAACAAACAGGTCTTAAGATTTGTGAAAGATGACGCCACTGATACAATTTTAAAAAGAGAAAAGGAAAGGTACATAAGTTGAAATATAGACTAGTACAAGTGAGTCTATTCACTTATTAACATTTAATGAAGAAGGGGGGACAGGAAGTGTTTTCACAATAGTTGCCTTTTAGGAACTTAGCCATTTTGAGTTTGTTTATATTGTATATAGAAAAAATAGGACATGTTTTGGCGAGTAGATTCCTTACATCAAGACAGGGAAGACGTATTTTGCCAAGAGATTCTATTACATTGTAAGACAGGGAGAAATAGGGGAATAGGAAATGGTTTGCAAGATTCTTTACATTTTATAAAACAGCGAAACGTTATTTTCTTGTGCAAGATTTCCTTCACTCAATTAAAAATGGGAAAGTTTTATTCTTTACAAGTACTTCCTTTACATTTAAAGAAGTGATAAGTTTTACCAATATTCATTACAGTAATGGAAGAAGGGAAGAGAAAGAAAATATCGTTTTTTTGTTTTTGCTTACCGAAATGTTTGCAAGATTCCTTACATTAAAAAGGAAATGCTTGCAAGATTCCTTACAGTAAAAAAGGAAATGTTTGCAAGGTTCCTTACATTAAAAAGGAAATGTTTGCAAGATTCCTTACATTAAGAAGGAAATGTTTGCAAGATTCCTTACATTAAGAAGGAACTGTTTACAAGATTCCTTACATTAAAAAGGAAATGTTTGCAAGATTCCTTACATTAAAAAAGGAAATGTTTGCAAGGTTCCTTACATTAAAAAGGAAATGTTTGAAAGATTCCTTACATTAAGAAGGAAATGTTTGCAAGATTCCTTACATTAAGAAGGAAATGTTTGCAAGATTCCTTACATTAAGAAGGAAATGTTTACAAGATTCCTTACATTAAGAAGGAAATGTTTACAAGATTCCTTACATTAAGAAGGAAATGTTTACAAGATTCCTTACATTAAGAAGGAAATGTTTGCAAGATTCCTTACATTAAGAAGGAAATGTTTACAAGATTCCTTACATTAAGAAGGAAATGTTTACAAGATTCCTTACATTAAGAAGGAAATGTTTGCAAGATTCCTTACATTAAGAAGGAAATGTTTACAAGATTCCTTACATTAAAAAGGAAATGTTTGCAAGATTCCTTACATTAAGAAGGAAATGTTTGCAAGATTCCTTACATTAAAAAGGAAATGTTTGCAAGATTCCTTACATTAAGAAGGAAATGTTTGCAAGATTCCTTACATTAAGAAGGAAACGTTTACAAGATTCCTTACATTAAGAAGGAAACGTTTATAAGATTCCTTACATTGCTGACTTGATGAACTTTTGGGGAAAAACGACATGCTTACATTAATCAGAGACAGTGGCTTTTTAAGTTAAGGGAATGTTTGCAAGATTCCTTACATTAAGAAGGAAATGTTTACAAGATTCCTTACATTGCTGACTTGATGAACTTTTGGGTGAAACATCGTGCTTACATTAATCAGAGACAGTGGCTTTTGAAAATTAAGTTAAATGTTTACAAGATTCCTTACATTATGCAGCTGCTTGTATTTACTAACACCAATCAAGCAGAGTCAACATCTGTTTGGAAACTGAGATGAAATCAACATCTTCCAGGATGGAAGACGTCTGTCAATAATTTACCACTTTGGGTAAGTTTAATTGAAGGCGCATTAGACTCAAGTCCCCGTCTCCCCCCTGCACCGCTTTGGCACTCACCTGGGCCCAGTGGTTCTTGAAGACCATGAGGCAGGTCTCTGGGTCGGCCGTGACGGGGCTCTGGAGGCTGGGGGCCCGGTTGGAGCGATGCCCGGACGGCCCCCGGGGGTTCAGCTTGCTCAGCCAGCTCATCCTCTCCATGGGAAGGACGAGGACCAGGAACAGGAAGAAGAAGAAGGGGGCAGAGAGGCCACAGGAAGGTCAAGGGTCATGGGCGACCACCCGGTAGGGCTCTGGTGGGGGCTGCCATGGTGGGCGTTGAGTGAGGAGGAGGAGGAGGAGGAAGAGGAGGGTGGAGCTGGTCAGGTAGCGAGGGGCAGCCGGTCCGAGGGGCAGCGGGCCCCATGGCGAGACGGAGAGGGTGAGACCACACTGTGAGGGGCGAGAGGAACAAGAGGCCGAGTCAGGGACAACAAGTGGGAAAATAACCCAAAAGCTGCAAAGAAAATGTAATGCAGATTGTATTAAACATTACTTGTCCGCTACATAACTGTCACGTTGCCAGGGCTCTACCTTATTTAGGTAGAGATTAACCAAACTCCCAGTTTTATCAAACAGTTTAATTAAAACAGCACTTACTTGCTGGCTGTTTTTATAGTCCAAAATATAAAACACAAAGATAGCACGCAGCTACAGAATAAACAAAAACTGATAGCAAAAATTACTTCGTAGTCAAAAGGGTCCAGTCCAGTGGTCAAATGCCGGGAGTTCAATAAACAAAGTCCAGGGGTCAAGAGTCTATGCCGTAGTCAAAAACCAGTCCAAAGGTTCAAGGTTCCAGGATTCCAAGATTACAAGAGGCAGGTCAGGATACCGAAAAATCCCAACAGACCTGGGGGGAAAACCAGCAACATCCACCACCAAAATGCAACAGATACTTTTCTCCCAAAGATCACTCTCAAGGTTAGCTCCTTAAATCCAGTAACACCCAGCTGCAACCCATCTCCTGCACACCTCCTCCCTTAATTGCTTTTACCTGTAAACTGTTACTACTCAGCCTACTCAAACTACTCAGCCCTTTAGAACCAAGACTTACACTAACCCTTCCATCACCAACTGCCAGGTCTACCACCACCAACCACCATCAACTATGGAACATATGACAATAACAAATGATAGATAGCACATGATTTGAATTGTGATAAAATAAATTTAAAAAAAAATTAAGTAAGAAGAGATCTAGGGAAGTAATGCTACCCCTCTATTCTGCTTTGGTTAGACCACACCTGGAATATTGTGTCCAGTTCTGGGCACCACAATTCAAGAGATATATTGACAAGCTGGAATGTGTCCAGAGGAGGGCGACTAAAATGATCAAGGGTCTGGAGAACAAGCCCTATGAGGAGCGGCTTAAGGAGCTGGGCATGTTTAGCCTGAAGAAGAGAAGGCTGAGAGGAGATATGATAACCATGTATAAATATGTGAGAGGAAGTCACAGGGAGGAGGGAGCAAGCTTGTTTTCTGCTTCCTTGGAGACTAGCGCAATGGAACAATGGCTTCAAACTACAAGAGAGGAGATTCCATCTGAACATGAGGAAGAACTTTCTGACTGTGAGAGCCGTTCAGCAATGGAACTCTCTGCCCGGAGTGTGGTGGAGGCTCCTTCTTTGGAAGCTTTTAAACAGAGGCTGGATGGCCATCTGTCAGGGGTGATTTGAATGCAATATTCCTGCTTCTTGGCAGAATGGGGTTGGACTGGATGGCCCATGAGTTCTCTTCCAACTCTTTGATTCTATGATTCTATGACTGAATGAGAGACAAGGACAAGAAAGTGCATTTCCAATCTGGATTCCTAAAAGGCACCTGCAGCAGAGGTGCCTTTGCAATCTGGGTGCCTCAAAAGCCACTTGCAGAAGTGAATTTGCAATCTAAATTCCTAAAAGACACCAGCAGTAGAAGTGCATTTGCAATCTGGATTCCTAAAAGGCACCCGCAGCAGAGGTGCATTTGCAATCTGGGTGCCTCAAAAGCCACTTGCAGAAGTGAATTTGCAATCTAAATTTCTAAAAGACACCAGCAGTAGAAGTGCATTTGCAATCTGGATTCCTAAAAGGCACCCGCTACAGAAGTGAGCTGCTCTGGGACCAGAGTGGAGAGAGGGGCCAGGAAGACAGATCCACCTTGTCTCCTGCACTGTGCTAATCTCTATAAATAAAAATGTCATGTTCGTTTGTGGGATTCACAGAACTCAAAAACCACGGGGGGAATTGACACCAAATTTGGACACAAGACACCTAACAACCCAATGTATATCCTTCACTCAAAAATTGATTTTGTCATTTGGGAGTTGTTGCTGGGATTTATAGTTCACCTACAATCAAAGAACACTCTGAATCCCACCAACGATGGAATTGAACCAAACTTGGCACACAGTTCTCCCAAGACCAACTGAAAATACTGGAAGGGTTTGGTGGGGAGTGTCCGTTGGTTTTGGAGTTGTAGTTCACCTACATCCAGCGATCACTGTGGACTCTAACAATGATGGATCTGGACCAAACTCTACACTAATACTCAATATACCCAAATGTGAACACTGGTAGAGTTTGGGGAAAATATAATCTTGACATTTGGGAGTTGTAATTGCTGGGATTTATAGTTCACCTACAATCACAGAGCATTCTGAACCCCATCAACAATACCACTGGGCCAAACCTCCCACACATAAACCCCATGACCACCAGAGTGGGCCACAGCAATGCGTGGCAGGGGACGGCTAGTAATATAATATAATACATTGTGTATACGTATAATATTGATAATATTATAATGTGATACAATACATTGCTACAAATAGTAACACAATGTTATAATTATATATTTTATATTGCATGTAATATTACTAATATTACATGCAATATTACATGTATAATGGTATAGCACAATATAGTAATATATAATACCAATATTGTGCTATGGTAATAGTATAATATATTGTATTTACATATTACTTGTAAGCTGCTCTGAGTCCCCTTCGGGGTGAGAAGGGCGGCATATAAATGTTGCAAATAAATAAATAAATAAAAATAAATAAGTGCATTTGCAATCTCGATTCCTAAAAGTCACATGCAACAGAAGTGCATTTGCAATCTGGATTCCTAAAGGGCACCTGTAGCAGAAGTGCATTTGCAATCTGGATTCCTAAAAGGCACCTGTAGCAGAAGTGCATTTGCAATCTGGATTCCTAAAAGGCACCTGTAGCAGAAGTGCATTTGCAATCTGGATTTCTAAAAGGCACCTGCAGCTGAAGTGCATTTCGAATCTGGATTCCTAAAAGCCACCTGCAACAGAAGTGCATTTGCAATTTGGATTTCTAAAAACCACCTGCAGCTGAAATGCATTTTGAATCTGGACTCCTAAATGCCACCTGGAGCAGAAGTGCATTTGCAATCTGGGTGCCTCAAAGCCACTGCAGAAGTGAATTTGCAAACTAAATTCCTAAAAGACACCTGCAGCAGAAGTGCATTTGCAATCTGGGTGCCTTAAAGCCACCTGCAGCAGAAGTTAATTTGCAATCTAAATTCCTAAAAGACACCTGCAGTAAAAGTGCACTTGCAATCTGGACTTCTAAAAGCCACCTGCGGCGGAGGGAGGCCTTGCCCCACACTCCCTCCTGGATCTCAAGGCAACCCAAGGGGCCAAGGCCAAGGCCGCCATCCCTGCAGGGAGGGAATGCACCTGCCCTGGGCACCAGAGGCCAACCGCCAATCAAAAGAAGCACCTGCTTGTCCCAGCTGCCACTCACCCAAGACAAGGCCCCATTGCCTTCCAGGGTCCCTTGGGCTGTGGCCCTCTCCCCAACACCTCTCGCTTGTGGGCCCAGGGCAGAGGAAGCACCAAGGCGGAAGGAAGGGTTCTTGGCCGCTCCCTGCGGGGTTGGACTCTGCCCCAGGTGAGGAGGAGGAGGGGGGGGAAGGGCGGCCCAGGAAGGGCCCCAAGCACAGCAGAAAGGCCAAGTTCTGCCTGGAAATTGCAAGGGAAATGAGCGCAGGAGGAGGAGGAGAGGCCAAAGGGTGGGCTTGCGCGGCACTTTGACTCTCATGGTGCAATTCATGCTTGGATTTAGAGTAAAACTAGCCATCTTGGAATAGATAAAGTGGAATCAGTGATGCCCAAAGCAACCACTCACAGCCTAACTTTCATTTTACTACAGCACCATGTTGTTCATTCGTTCAGTCGTCTCCGACTCTTTGTGACCTCATGGACCAGTCCACGCCAGAGCTCCCTGTCGGCCGTCACCACCCCAGCTCCTTCAAGGTCAGTCCAGTCACTTCAAGGATGCCATCCATCCATCTTGCCCTTGGTCGGCCCCTCTTCCTTTTACCTTCCACTTTCCCCAGCATAATTGTCTTCTCTAGGCTTTGCTGTCTCCTCATGATGTGGCCAAAGTACTTCAACTTTGTCTCTAGTATCCTTCCCTCCAATGAGCAGTCGGGCTTTATTTCCTGGAGGATGGACTGGTTGGATCTTCTCGCAGTCCAAGGCACTCTCAGAACTTTCCTCCAGCACCACAGCTCAAAAGCATCTCTTCCTTCGCTCGGCCTTCCCTAAGGTCCAGCTCTCACATCCGTAGGTGACTACAGGGAATACCATGGCTTTGACTAGGCAATGGATCTTGGTTGCCAGTCTGATGTCTCTACTCTTGACTATTTTATCGAGACTGGACATTGCTCTCCTCCCAAGAAGGAAGCGTCTTCTGATTTCCTGGCCACAGTCTGCATCTGCACTCATCTTTGCACCTAGAAATACAAAGTCTGTCACGGCCTCCACATTTTCTCCCTCTATTTCCCAGTTGTCAATCATTGTTGTTGCCATAATCTCAGCACCATAAGAAATGAAAACTGAGCATGAGCAACCAATTGCTACACCGCTTTCCTTTTACCTCAGCAGCAAAAGAAATAGCACCCTATGACTATCAATAAAGTGCAGGGGTAATCTTTGCAATCTTTGCAATAAAGTGTAGGGGTAATCTTTGGGGAAAGTGGAAGGAAAAAGGAAGAGGGGCCGACCAAGGGCAAGATGGATGGATGGCATCCTTGAAGGGACTGGTCTGACCTTGAAGGAGCTGGGGGTGGTGACGGCCGACAGGGAGCTCTGGCGTGGGCTGGTCCATGAGGTCACAAAGAGTCGGAGACGACTGAACGAATGAACAACAACAACAATCTTTGCAAGTGTGTGGTTTGTATTTAGGACACTGGAGACCCCGAGGGGGCAGTGGGTTAAACCCCTGTGCTGGCAGGACTGAAGACCGACAGGTCGCAGGTTCAAATCCGGGGAGAGGCAGATGAGCTCCCTCTATCAGCTCCAGCTCCTCATGCAGGGACATAAAAGAAGCCTTCCACAAGGATGATAAAACATCAAAAATCATCCGGGCATCCCCTGGGCAACG